AAAGAGAAAAGGAATGGGGGAGGAAGGAGGCAGAGGAAGAGACAGCAAAAGAAGGGGAAAGGGAAGTATAGAAACAGAGGAACCAATATTTTAGTTGCTCAGAGATGGCTTCTCTCCATATTGCCCCCTTTGGATGTGAGGCGGGAGGAGGAAGAGACAAATTGAGATTCAATCAAGTGGATATAATATTAGATTGAATCATATGAAATGCTATTTTTGAAAGTTAGAAATGGTTTAATACCAGCAATTTCAAATGATTCAACTATTATGGAATCAAAAGAGATAATAATGTGAGAGCACTTATGAAATAATTAAAGCACTTCATAAATGCAAGCTATGTGGCATATAGTGGAACACTATTCCACTCCCCCCAGACAACCTAAAAAAGTAAATAAATAACTCAAATTTCAGGGAAATGGCTTAAAGCCACTAATGGTGGATGTAGCATAGACCCCAAAACTGGTGAATTACAAATATTGCCTGGTTTCAAAGCCTTTTAGAAATTGAAAGGATGACAGCTATTCCATATAAAATTAGATGCCCTAGACTACATCACCTGGAGATTGCCTAGAACTTGTTTAAAAAGGCAGAAATTGAGAGGCAGTTACCCTCTTGCTGTGAGTAGATTACATCATCTGCAAAATACCTTTTGGTTTTTGTTGCAAAGTTATTCTTTTTTTTTTTCCTAGTCTGCTGTAGTGGACTTTTTTCCTAGTCTGCTGTAGTGCACCTTTGATATAACTCTTTCCTTACTCCCATAAATGGTTTTTTATCACTGTTATTTTAACAATTAACTAAATATTAGCCTTCTTGTTTTATAGACTCCTCTTAATGACTTCTTCTTAACTCTCTGTCTCCATTGTCCCTTGTAGGGATTTGGCATGCTGCTGATGGAGGAAGCAGAAAGAATAGCTAGAGAAGAACATGGATCTGGGAAAATAGCTGTTATATCAGGTAAGTGGAGGAAGGCAAAGTTCATGATTTATTCACATATTTAACTTTGTACTACACTTAAAACTTCCTCAAGCTCTCTTACCCCTATTTATGTTCCAAACTGGACAGAACTGAGTAGTTAAGACTTGAGCTCAAACACAAAGAAAATTCCTATAAGCAATGTGGTGGAATAGAGCTTTCAGAAGCACTCCATTTGAGTGGCAAGGCCTGTATCCTGTCTCCTCGCCATCTGTCTCAAGAGTCATCAGTCTGTCACACTAGTCGTCATGGTCAACTATTCTCTTGTACATTTTGCCCAGTTACTTGGGGAAAATGAAGTTTGATGATATGGATCTAAGAAAAATGTAAACCAATGTGGAGATTATCAAAATTCAGAAAATTAAAATAGAGTATCAGTTGTCTTTACAGGATGTTTACAGGGAGAGTTTCTTGTTCTTTAAATATTATTCTCAGTGGCTTTTCCTGGGGACCAGCTTTCCTCTGGTTGGAAGTTTCCCCATACCTTATCTAGGACATCAGATAATTGGAGAAGCAGGCATGAAAAGAACATTCTGGTATACGTGGAACAAGAAATAATGTATACACCCTTTTAGTTCTCCTTAGCATTGTATCCTTACAAAATTTACTAATTCCAAAAGAACCTAACATGGTTAAAGCCAGGATCAAAATATAGGTTATTTTCCTCCAGCATTTGTTTTCTCACTAGATTGCTGCATTCTTAAAGACAGATTGTTCTTCTAAGAACATAATCTTTTCTGAAATTGAAAGTTGAAATGATATTTTTTTAAAAAAGAAGTTGTTGCCAATCATATATCAATACCCTTGCCCAGGTTTTAATGATTATAATTATAAAAATGTAATGACCCAAGCTCAGTTAATCATTTGATCTGACTGTGGTTTTTGGCATTATTTAGACAGATTAATAAAGCATTTCTTAACATGGCTAGCTTTATCATTTTTCCTGTTATTTTTAATCCCACTAAAGAAGAAGAAACTAAATGAGGCTTATCTGATTAGTAGTGATACGTATAATAAAAAAATGTTTACCTCTCAATTGTTTAACCTCTGGTCCACATGCATCTGTGGAGGGCTGAGATCACTTGGAATTTCAGTAGCCTGTGTTGCTGGAGCACTGTCAGTGTTCTCAGTACAGTACTTCGCAAGCTTTAATGTGTTTGTGCATCACCTGGGGATCTTGTTAAAATGCAGATTCTGACTCATTAGGCCTGGGCTGGGGGCCTCAGAGCCAGCATTTCTAACAAGCTCACAGCGATACCTATGCTGATTATCTTCAGGCCACACTTTGAGTAGCAGGGTTTTAGTATCCTCTTCTAAATGTAGTATTCTCTTCTATTAAGGTGAGGATTCTCTGTGACCCTGGCAGTGCCTGTACTCTCAAAGTCTAATGTGCAATCACGTGATTTTCTGGTTATCTGTGGGAACCTAATTAACCTTAAAATGGAGAGCATTGGTTTTCTATCCTTTCTCCACATTATTTCATTTGCCTTCATGATCTCTTTTTTTTTTTTTTTGAAATTACATGCAGAGAGGGCCCCTGACTTACCTGAGGTCACATTTCAATTGCCCATAAGAGCCTCAGTTTCTGCCTTTCATGAGCAGGGTGCCTTTCTAAGTAGAAATCAGCATCCATACTCATTCTAGCTTTTTATCATAATCTAAATAATAGCTCAATTTCAGATCACCTGCTTATAGAATTTTTAAAATAACAAGAAGAGACTTGCTAAAAATAACATGGAAGAGCCTTTCTCCTTATCAGCTCCTACAATTAGACTACTAGATTTCTGGACAGGGGGTTTCTTTTTTGGTCAGGGGGTTTCTATAGGAACATCCCTGGAAGGCCGCCTTGGAACTAAAGTGAGTTCTGTGGGAGAAAGGAAGCATTACTTCCTGTCACTCTGGTCTATAAGCACAATATCACTTTCTATCAGGGAAGCCACCGAGGGCTTTGACTTTCCATTTGACTCAAGATCTGATCATTCAAATGAAAAAGCTACTACTTGAGATGTCCATTATTCATAACTTTAAGGAGAGCAGATTTAAAGTTTATTTTTATAACACGTTTTTTATGTTTTCCCCTTCCATGTTTGTTCATTTTGACTTTGGTCTTTTGATTTCAGTGCAGTGATTGTATGTACGTGCGCGTGCACGCTTAAGAGAGACAGAGACAGAATTAGTTTTTGTAAAAAGTCAGTTATTCTCCATAAGCTGGTCCTTAGAATGAAAATCTCTTTGTGAAAGTACCAGTGTTTGTGTGCTTCATTTCTTCATAATACTTGATTAGATGTGGCATTTAGGGGTGGGATGTGGTTCAAGTCTATTTCTATATTATCAGTAACTCTTCTTGTGATATTGGATAATTTTAGTTGATCTTCATGGATCTTTATCCTTACTAAAAACAAGTATGGGCTGTTATCTTTTACAATTTTTACAGTCTAGAATTCTGCCCCCTTAGTATCTTAATTTCTTTTAGTTAACATGACCAGTTGTTCTACTGATTACATTTTATGTAGATTCTTTTCTGAAACCATATTAGGAACCCCATTAATTTCATCAGTAGCTGATCTCATTCTCATTGTATGTTGGGTACTTGACAATAAAAATGATGATTTTACCATAGGTAGCTGAATCCTCTTAGTAATTTGTGGACACTTGTTAACTTCAGTCATTGCTGGTGGTACTTTGTGACCTAACTGTCTTACAGTTTTTTCTGACCTCGTCCTCAGTTTGTAAATCCATTCTTGTTCTGCTTCGTAGGCTTTCGTAAAACTCGTATACAGTAGTGGCCTAGATATTTTGCCCTGGCATAACCAGTACCTTGGGTAAGGAAGAGACAGATCATTTATCATGCTAGTTACGGTAACTAGAATGCATTTATGTAGAATTTTTTAAAATTATATTCTGATTCATTATGATTTCATCTTGCCAGCAGATTTTCTGTTACTTGGATTTATACTCCTTGATTCTGCCTCTCATCAATATTATTAACTACACAGTAGATTTGATTTGAATCACTAGTCAGAAAAACTCCATGCATTCTATTTTTCCCTATTAAAAACCAGTTTTTAATCTACATTACCTCAATATATTTTGTTTATAGAAGATATTTATATTTTATCACTGATTTATTTTTTAAAAGATAAACTTTATAGCTACATGAGAAAATTGAAAATTTGTTTATCAGAGTTGAATGAAGCACTCTCTTAAAGAGACTTAATGTTTATTCATTCTATTTTTTTTAACTATATATAATTCTTAGTAAACTGACTGTTTTAAAGTTAACTATCAACTCTAAACGTGAAAATTAAAGCAAAAATGAAATGTTTGGCTATTAAGTATCTCCTACCAGGGCTGAGAGGGCAGTTGGAAGAAGTATGAGATGCTTCCTCTGCCTTTGAGACACATTCACATTGGGCTGGACAGCTAACTCAGCCCTCGCCCTGCAGGTTGTCCCGAACTGCAGAGGAAGATAAGTTTACTCCCTACTTAGATAGTTTAGCAACTCAGCATTAGTTGCTTCAGAGTAAGAAAATAATCTTTTCCTATGTGTAAAATGGGTTAAATAGGTAATATAAGAACAGTTTATAAAATAATGTATTTTATAATAATTACAGGAAATAACAGTTAATAGCTGCTAAATGTCTAGGCAATTAATGAGTCCCTATTAAGTCCAAGTGCTTCAGTATCTCTCACCAGCTTACTCCTGTAGCATCTGTCAACGCATATCTGTTAAGGATTAACAAATCTTATCAACTTAAAAGCCATGGTGTTTACTTGGATGATCAGCATTCTTTCCTTTAAAAATGTTAAGATGAAGCAAAGCAGTTTTTTCTCTTATGATGTAAAGTGCAAGAAATTATACAGTAGAACCTAACCACATTTGAAATGCCACCTCTAATAATCACCATGGAAACAGAAGATCTCTGATGTCACACTGCTTATACCATTTCCAAAAAGCCAAATATAACTGTCGATAGCCACTATTTAAAAAGCCACTCAGTACCATCAGCAAGATGATTTTTTTTTTTCTTTTGGCAGTTTTGGCTAGGTATCAGATCCAATCATGTTACTGTTTCTGTTTGCAAAGCTAATTGCTATGCATCAAGACGAACAGCTATTCCCCAAGCTCCCCCTCCTACCTTCGTCATAAGCAGTATTCTATTTGTGTTCTTTCAAGTAGAAAATTAATATGGCCATTGGCCAAAAATTGTACGAGGTTGATATCACACAGTGATGGTGAGAAATGAGGAAAATGTCTGAATGGTTGATGACAGAAATCACTGAAGTCAGAGACTAATAGCCATTTTGTTTAAACCTATTAGAAAAGCAAAGAAAAGGGGAGAAAAGAAGGGCTTAAATATAGGGCGAGTAACCGAGTCACTGTGGAAATGAGATCATTCTAAATCATGATGCTCAGAGTTGTATGACTAAAGGCACATCTCCAGTTCCTACCAGTGAGAAAAATCAATGTGCCTGTGCCGTGTATGATCCAATGTGGCTTCCTAGGACTGAAATTAATGGTCTTGTACCCCAGAACTACTGATTAATGAAATAATATGTGGGCAGAAAATAACATTTTTGTTTCATTAAACTACAAATGGCTGAGATTTACTTAATGGACCCCAGAAACTTCACCTATATTCCTGGCTGCAACACATCTCTCTCCGTTTGAGGTGAAGGCAGTTTTATTCTTTGTATTATAATCTAGTTGAAAAGAAGGGTACATTTGTAACTAGATCTGTCTGGTAATGGACACAGGAAGCCTGCCAAATGCAAACCAGTTTGTGCCACATGTGCATGTGTTAATATAGGACTTCTCAGAAAGGAAGGAAAAAGATTGCTTGCTCTTTTATAGTTTCTATGTCATCCTTTTACATAATTTATTTTTTGATAAATTATTTCCTAATTAAATGTACATTGTTAGGGTTCTATATAGTTCTCTCTTTCTTCAATTTGGTATTCTAACAATGATCATACACCTT